TAAAATCAAAACCTATAATATTGTGGGAGTGTTTCTTACATAATTCAGTAATTGTTTCTGTCAGAAACATCAATGATCTGCCATTATTGTCTCTATACATTTCTACTGATTGGTGATGAATTGGTTTTTTTTTTTGGAATATTAAATAAGAAATTCGAAAAAGAGTGTTAAAGGTGTACCCGTACATCGTCGTGCTCCAAACGCATGGAGGTGTACGGGTGCGAAACATGGACAGTGGGTGCGGCGGAAAAGAAGAGGTTAGAAGCGTTCGAAATGTGGTGTTACAGGCGAATGATGAGGATACCGTGGATAGAGAAGGTTAGAAATGAAGAGGTATTAGAAAGAATCGGAGAACAGACGACTGTATGGAAGTCAATAAGAAATAGACGAGATAGGTTGGTAGGACACCTTCTCAGGCATGAATGTCTAGTCAGAGACATATTAGAGGCAGAAACGGGAGTTAGACGGGGTAGAGGTAGACTTAGATTAGATACTGTTCACAAAGAGTTAAGGATGTGGGATGTTCTAGTTTTAGGGAAATGCGAAGATTAGCTCGGGATAGGAAAGAGTGGAGGTCCGTGTCCACTCGGTCTTAGGACTGACGACCTTATGATGATGATGATGATTGTGTATTTTGTTCGCTCGATTTTGGTCTTGATCTTCTTAGTATAAAGACAGTCTTGATCTTGGTCTTTGTTTAGGATTTTCGCAAGACCAAACTAAGACTGCTACGCCAAGACCAATTTTGCTCATCCTAGCAAACGCTACTTTCGAATTGCGATGGAAATTATTACAATGTATATCAAATAAAGAAATTAACGCTGAGTTTCGTGAACTGATGAAGTTAAGAGAATATGGAGAAGACATTTCGATAACCCCAAAGGAAGCATTCGTGGATTACCCTTTCCACTTTTACACCATTCCAAGGAAATTGTTTTGAACACAGTTCGTAGTACTTGTATCTTTATTGATTTAAAAATGATGAGCTTTAAATGGCAATGACGTCTGAACTTAAAGACCTCATAATTTCCTCAAAATATTAAGATTACCTTCAATTAAAGTTACATTTAGGTACCGTTTTAGGTTAGAATCCAATTACTTGATTCGTGGGAGGTTTTTGAACCTATATCAAGAAAAAGTCTTCGTATTTAAATATATATAATGCAGAGGTATATTAAAAAAAAAGTATGTTATTGATCTGTATTTTGCTAAAACTATCGGACGTGCGGAGCCTTTCGGTTCTATTTGCTTAGGTGCCTACCACATAGAGCTACGCCTTCTATGGGTTCAGTTTGATAAGTCAATATCCTTATTAGAAAAGGACCTTGTTGAACATTACTGAATCTCGCACATAAATATCAAATTTGTATGTGTTGGATTTACGACACAGTGCGTATTTGTTATTGAGATCAAGAAGAGGAAAGTTTTGATCCTGTTGGTGTTAATTAGATTTGTTGGTTAACAAGTGCAAATTGCTCATCATAACTTTATGCAATTGTTTATTTAGTTTGAGTGGTTTTTCAATAATATGATAATTTATTCCATTATCAAGGACACAAACAATCGTCTTTCTGAAATCATCATAAGGTCGTCAGTCCTAAGACTGGTTAGACACGGACCTTCACTCTATCCTATCCTGAGATAATCTTCGCATTTCTCTTAAATTAGAGCAACCCACATCCTTAACTATTTGCGAACAGTAATCTAATCTAGGTCTACCTCTATCCCTCCTAACTCCCGTTTCTGCCTCTAATATGCCTCATAGAGTCCTCTGTTCTCCTATTCTTTCTAATATCTCTTCATCTCTAGTCTTCTCTATCCACTGTATTCTCATCCATAATTCATTAACATTAATATAAACATAAACAGGTTTTAAAGATGATAAATGTTTCCTGGTAGCATTGGAATATTTTGATCCAATTATGAATTAGAATATTTGTCGATGATGCAGTTTTGTTTGTTGATGCAAAAAATTATGATGTTTTTCGAGAGATAACAAATAAGTAAACAGATCTTAAACATTTTTTTGTTGGCAAATTTTTGCATTCTACTCAAGGTGATCTATAATCTGCAATTATCAAGTCAATGCCAAATTCTGTGACAACATGGATAGGGTCATTATAATTTCATTACATATACACATAATATTTACTTTTATACATATGTTTACAATTAAAAACGTTTTAAATTTTAGATATTCATGATTCTAATTTTTTTTTGTCTGGAATGTCTCAATTAAGATTATTTTCCTGAAGCAATTATGTTGAATTATAATGTATAATTTGAGAAAGTTACTTTTACGAAAAGTTTTCTTTAAATTAGCTGAAATGGCATTAGAAACTTTCTTCTTCGGGTCATATAATAGGTAAAGGTCTAGATGTGAGGGTGGGGGTAGGGAGGATCGAAAGAGGAGATCTCCCCCACCACTGTAACATAAAAAGTTCGTGGCGGTCTCACCCCCATAAAAGGTTAGGGGGGTTCAAAGTTAAATATGCCAATATTCAAAGGTAAAACTAAAGAAAAATACATAAAAATATTGAGAAAGTTATATAAAACATTATTTAAATATCTTTATCAATAGGGTAGGTTAGGTTAGGTTAGGTTATCGGGTTTTGTTCAAGTGACCACCCTCTTTCGATCCCCCACCTCCATCCGCTTGAAAATATTTTTTTTTATTTAATTTTATTTGAATAATAGTGTATGAAAATTGACAAAATAATCAACTTTCAACCCCCATAACTTTTTATGGGGGTGAGACCGCCACGAACTTTTTATAGTACAGTGGTAGGGGAGACCTCCTCTTTCGATCCCACCCACCATCTAGACATTTACCATATAATGCTTCAAACAATATATTTTTGATTACTTTTTGGAGTACGGACAAAATCATATTGAGTAATGAGAGTTTATTTTCTTAGAACAAGCGCTTCCGTATGTTTAATAGACATGTACAACGTGCATGTGTAAACAAAGGATTTGCAACGCAAGAAATGACCTAGACCTCTAAGATATTTGGGATCAAAGCCTTCAAGTAGTTTTATTAAACCATGTAGAGTTATGTAATCGCCAACAATAATATTTTACGTATTTATAGTTGTGGAGTAGGTAGTTTTGCAGCTGAGACTGCAGATGATTAGCCATTCTCGAACTATCCGACGACTGAAACGTCTACTAAGAGAATGAAACTTACTAAAAGAAAAGAAAAAACTTTTGGGTGTTTCATTCCCAACAGCCACTAATGCTGGTGGACGGGCAGTCCCTCCGGACTACGCCGGAAGGTAGGGCGAAAGGCCCTCTTCAGCCTGCTTTCAGGAATTGTGGGAATGGGTGGGTGGTGGTTCGAGTGAGAAAGATGAGGCGGACGAAATGAGGACAGAAGACATCTGTGGAATATTACTGCCCCAGGACATTTGTCTAAGTGATCCAAGGAAACCACAGAAAAACTTGGACCAAGGCAGACGGACCTGGAATCGAACCGGTGTCCTCCCGAATGCTAAGCAATGTTCTAAACCTCTAGGTCATGCCGTTTGATTGAAACTGACTGCACCTGCGTTTAAGTTATATACGCTACCCAAATGTGTAGGTTTAGGTTGAGTTGTAGTGAGGGAAGGTTTTCCTATCGGCATATGGAGAATGTTTAGGTTAAGTTATGATGGGAATGATTCCCTGATTAGAATATGTAGGTTATTATGTATAATCAACGGTGGTAATCACTCGTCCAAATAAGGACTAACTACTGAAACATGAAAAATCCGAATTAAAAAAACGAAAAACTTTTAATGACCGTAAGACATTTTAAATTAATTTATATTAATTGATGTGAATATAAATTATTCTCTAATCCAATTAAATGTGATAAAATATACAAATGTCAAAATTTTTATTTATCCGTAGATATCTACAACGTGACAAATAAGATTTTATAGATAAGGTCATCTTTATCAGGATTTTTATCGACTAAATAAAGGTTTTCAGTTATTAATAAGTATCTTAAAGTAATTGATTTGTATAAATTACCTACATAGCAGACGATATTATTGCATAATATATTCAAAAGAGGCTTTATATCATAAGTATTTGCTCATTGCAAAATAACTCACTCGTTTGCAAGAAAAAAACTCAAGTAGATAAATTGTAAAAGAATAAAATAAAGTTTTAAACTTTCATATAAATGAAATTGAATTATAAACAACGGATGCAAACAATACTGTCTGATAATGAAATTTTATTTCGCTGCAAATACGAAAAGATTATTATTGTAAACCGAATCAGCATGATATTTATGCTGGTTTGAAAAATAGTATTTACAAAAGGATATTATTGTCAGATAAAAAAATATGATAATTTATGAAATGCAAAAAAAGGAATATAAAGTAATGCCACGCAGAACTTCCTTGTATAATTTTTGTATAAATTAAGCAAGCAAATAAACCTAACCAGGTAAATGTAACTTTATGCTACCCATTAGCTTCTTAAAAAAAAAGGTTTTCGGCCAAAATCGGTCAGACCATCTTTATAGCCAAGAAAAAGAAGTTAACAACTGTTATTTCGACTACTTTTATTATTGTATTTATTCGAAATTATCATACAGGTTCACGCGGGCAAAGTCGCGAATAAAACCTAGCTTAATCGTAAAAAAATTACGCTCGTTTGACTGAATCGGCGTTATTGAAACAATATTTAGTTATGATATTAAATATTTATTTATGTTAATGTTACAGGTAATAAAAATTTTTGCAAGTCAGTTAGTTCCTTCATTCATTAATTTTTTATTTTTTGTGCACAGTTAGAAGTATGCAGATTGTTTTTACGACTTTAAAAAAAAAAAAAAAATCAGTGCCTAATTAAGTAGTTAATTGACAATTTTTGTAAGGAATAATAAAAAGGAAATTTAATCGTGTTGGATGTAAATTTTAGGTGTCCAAATATTTGTGAAATTGGTCACAACCACATTCGAATACAGTAAAAATGAATTTTCTTAAAAAAAAAATCCCACTCACCCTTTTTCCCATTTCGCACCGAGTATGTAATGTTTTCAAACTCGATGTCAATATTTTTTGTCTGCGGCAGATGCAACAGGACTGCTCTTTGCGAAACTTCACTCATTTTTAATTAAGGGAACAATTTTCATGTGAAAAACAATTATTACTTGCAAATGTACTGTAAGTATTACTTTTTATTGTATAATTTGCGCACCGGGTAATGATAATAGATAGAATTAAAGCACCGTTGAAACTAATGTTTAATAATTCCAATCAATGAACATTTCGTTTTATTAATTGTACAGCGTTAATTTTTCCGTATCGTTGCCGGTCGTCCACACACCACGATCGATCGCGAACGATTGAAACCACAAACCAAAACCCCAACCACTGTGCTACTGATAGCAGTAAGGCTTGTATGGTACGGTTCTGTAGATTTTATACTACTTTCAGGCGGTCGTCGGTCCACTCAGCGATCTTGTTCGACCGCTCGCCCTAACTTGTAGATTGTAGAGCGCAATAAATACATAATATGCGCGTTTTTTTTTTATATTTTTATCCCAACCGTTCGCGGAACCGTCATCGGAGTTTCGCTGCGCGGAACTCTCATACGCGTAGCTCACTCCGCTCCCGGCCATGTGACACACTGATAATAGTTTCCACGAGGAGAATGTACTTACGCATTCGATTGCCTTGATACGAAGGAAAATTCGACGACGGCGCCAACGACGCCGATCGCGAGCGACGACGCCGTAGCAGGGACGCAGGCACGTCGTTACACGTGTATGTGGTAGTCAGGGGAGAATCCAGGACTTAGCTGTGGCTTTCCATATATCGGAAATTATAATTATTTTTTCACATTTATGTCGATAGGCAGAAAGATACAATCTCAGTGTGCTCCCTCAATTCCTCGATAACCCTATACTCCAGAATTAATCTTAATTTGGCAAACAGACGATAACGTAAACTGGGCTCGGAATAAATGGTAATGACGCCCTTGTGCCATGGTAAATGTTTTCAATCTCGAAATGAATCGGCAACATATTTCTTTCACTTGAAGAAGATGATCATTTTGTTTTGTTTCTGTTCTTATCGTTATCATTTAGTTGAACCTACCTATCAATAACATCAAACGAAAGTACAACATTACAAATCAATTACTCAGCTAAAATACTAATTAGAATACAACTCCTTCGAGGCTTCCCACCACTTCTGATAACCTCATAAAACCTTAGCTCCTTTAAAGAACTTGAGAAATTCAATTAAAATTTCACAAGAACATTACTGATTTGAATTGGTAATATTTTGAATATTTAAATTGACCAAATGTTTGACCTGGCTAAAAAATTGATTAAAAGTTGCTACCACCAGCGTCTTCATCTTACAAGGTCGCGTGACCGCTTCTAGTGATGACCACAAGTGGCCGAGTGTTCAAGCGGCCTAAATGAGGTACTTTCTTATCATTAATAAACTACAAGTAGATAATAAATAGTAAAATATAGTATAGCAATTTATAAATAGAAGTCTACCACTAATTACACTTTAAGTTAGGGCAATTTAAAAATGACTTCTTGCTAACTGTAAATTATAACTATTTATAAACTATTAAATAACGATTAACAATTAACGTAATATCTTTATCAATTAGAGTAACGTTTCTGTTTCCTTTGTGCGGTAAGTGCTTGACACTCTTTTGTTTTACTTTTGTTATCGACTATTGTCGTTATCACTGATGCGTCCAAACTGTAATCACAAGAAAACGTTCAATATTTTAATTAATTTACTGAAACTGGAAAGGAAACTGAAAATACCCATCTCAAGGACGCCTAAATAGAGACTAATGATGGTCCCTCACCTTATCTCCTTATACTACATTATCGGAGTGTACTTGAGAGGGACTGCCACCCCACTAGAATTACGAGCTGGTGGCATTATGTTGGTACTCATGTCTCTCACTTATACCTACAAGTTGGGCCATGTTGAACGTTCAGTTAATTTTAGACACCTGCTTTGTTTGTACGTGTTTTGGCTCGTCTTCGATTTTGCCTATTTCAAAAAAATGGATTAAGGCTCTGTATTAAATTGTGTGTGCGCGAACGCATTCCGAATGTTGACGACTGTGCCATATGGTGAAGCTATCTTGGACAGAAGCAACGTTTATAGGTGGTACAAAATATTCTCAGAGGGCCGAGGAGATGGGAACGCCCGAGCACGTCAACAACAGACGAAAACATTGATGAAGTGAAGTAAATAGTACTGGTCAATCGTCTAATCACCGTTAGAGAAGTTGCTGAAAACCTAAACATATCGATAGACTCCTGCCATCCGATTTTTGCCAATGATTTGGGAATGAGATGGGCCGCCGCAAAATTCGTATCAAAATTGCTGTTAGATCCTGTCCGCGACGACCCAGAGTTGTTCCAGAGAGTCATAACTGGTGACGAATCATGAGTTTATGGTTATGACGTGGAAACCAAAGCTCAATCATCTCAATGGAAGCTGCCGCACGGGCCAAGACCGAAAAAAGCGCGCGATTGCAGGAGCGTGGTATATCATGAGTTCTTGCTACAGGGTAGAACGGTCAATAAGGAATGCTCAAGCAATACGCCAGAAACGCCCGGTTTTGTGGAAGAACAAAAATTGGCTTTTGCGCCATGAACCAACACACTAATAATGCCGCAGCCACCGTATTCCTCAGACATGCCCTCTTGTGACTTCTCTTGTTCCCCCATGAAAGGATGCTACACTACGATTGAAGAGATAAAGACAGCATCGAAGGAGGAGCTGAATAAGGTTACAAAAGATGATTTTTTTGAAGTGCTTCGAGGATTTGGAAAATAGATATTAATGAATAAACAAATAATTCTTGGAAAAAAACAAAATTCGCGATAATGTTTGAACAGATCTCGTATACCCCCTGAGAGGCTACTCCTCCCTATAACCACTCTTTACTATGACATGTTGCTGTATTTATGATGGTACCTAATAAAACTCACAAAATTACTGTTTGTAGAAGCTTGAGACTAAGGCTTTCTTCCTTTTCTCTATTTTATAATGACACTGTATCCCTATATTTCTATGTCTATGGTAGGAATTAAATTTCTTCATCCTCATCATCATAAGGTCGTCAATCCTAAAACTGGTTGGATACGCACCTCCACGCTTTCCTATCCTGAGCGAATCTTCGCATTTCCCTATGAATAGAACATCCCAACTATTTGTAACCAGTAATATAATCTGGGTCTACCTCAACTAAATTAAATTTACAAAAGTTTTTTCTTCTAGGAGCTTGGGTTGATGGAAATGTCTATGGGATACAGATGAAGGCCAATAAGTTTGAAATCACGTCCGATGTTTCGACAGAATGCTGATCGAGGACCTATTACTGATTGTAAGTTTCAATATTTGTTCACTGTGTTCTATATGTAGGGATAACTACCTCGTAGAAAAATTGGTTGCATTAAACGAGGAAATTTGCTTTGGGTACCAACATTTACGTAATATTTGCATTTAATATTTTTCCGTGCGTACTGTTGGAAACCTCGCTGATGGGCTAAAACTTAAAATACATAACAAATCACTAAATCTGACGACATTAATTTATCCGTGATTATATTGTGTGAAATACTACACTGTAGTACCTAGTACAAGTGAAGGTTAACGGGAAATTACACTTTTCATTCAGTTTGATCTTCTCTATAGGTACATACATATGCATGTATGTATATACACTGTAGATATAGGTACATTACCTTCCTCGAACATCAAAACGTAATTTCCTCATGATGCCTTACACATGCTTCAGTTTACCTTGAAGGGGGCAGAAGCCGACCGTGATCTAGAAATTATTTTATGGTGGGCAAACAGCCTTTCGTTCCGGTTAGGTACATCTTTTAAGCACACGCAACTTTGTAAATATCTGACTTTGAATTAATTTATGTGTGTAGATTGTTGAATTTCATTATAGTAAGCACGTTCATCTGGACAAATTTCCATAATTAGTCTCTTGAACTTAAGGCATGTTAAGATTTTGTTAAATAGGCATCATAGTGTCAGTGTGAGAGGGAGGTCAATTACATTTGATTCAAGGTATCTTAAGGGAAGTTGTATTGGTTTTAGAACTTTTTCACAATGATCTTCTGCTGTAAAAGGTACACTTACAATGATAACAATTTTTAGAATATACAATTTTTCAACTGATTGTAGTGAAACTACCACCAAGTTCGCTAAAGACCACTTAGAATTCTCGCAAATTATTCAATGAACTATATTAGAATGGTAATCAGTAAAGTTGTCGTCTAAGGTTGAGAACGCCGATGGAGTCGTTCATCCAAACACAGTATAAAGATTCAATACAGTAGGTTCATTTCCCATGCATCCCTCTTCTGCCGACACCTTACCACTTCATCTACGACTTTTCCGATAAGCACGGATTGCGTTGTATAGAATATTATTGAGAAGCTACAGTATAAATATAAATACAATACGTATAATATCTAAACACACATCGAGCGGCATGGACTGGAGGTTTAGACCATTGGTTAGCATTCGAAAGGAAGCTGGTTCGATTCCGTACAAGTCCAAGTTTTTCTCTGGTTTCCTTGGATCACCTAGGCTAATGCTGGGACAGTAATATTCCAAAGATAATCTTCCGTTCCCTTCTGTCTTCATTTCGTCCGTCTCATCTTTCTCACCCGAACCACCACCCAAGGAGGCTGAAGAGGGCCTTTCGCATTACCTTCCGGTGTAGTCCGAAGGGTCTACCCGCCCACCAGCATTAATAGCTGGTAGGAATGCAATACCCAAAAGTTTTTTTTTAATCTAAACACAGCTATTGAATCGTCCTCGTATATAGCAGTTCAGTACACATAAAGTTACAAATGTTGGTATTTTAGGCAGATCAACTGATCATAGTGAAACTACCACCCAGTCTGCATCATCATGCATTTGTGGATTCGCAAATTTATAATTTTTTGTCTTGTGTTCTTTGCAGCACTTGTAGTCCCAGTGATCTTCATTTAGTTGGTCAAGTCTGGTTTATGGGATGCTTGCAGTTTTGAGTTTTGTCTTGGATTTAATTTCAATGCAATAAAAACAGCATCTACTTTTCACTTTTCTGTTTTTGAAGTTTGACGTTTCGAACAAGTCGATTGGTATGACTAGTGTACGTCACCTAGCAAGACTTAAATCTAAAAAAAAACACGTAAAAAATGCTTTCGATAGTTTTCTATTCATTGCTGCACAAAAACGTATCACGTTTTTCATGAACAGCGAGTAATCTTATGTTGAGTACTTAATAATTTCATCTATTCATAAGAATCCAAGTAGGTAAATACGCTAATTGGGTCTACCTTCGAGCAATCTTTATTCTATGAACCTACTTTAATTTATTTATTGTAATCAAGGTTAAAAGAACATAGAAAAAGGTGTACGAAATCATTATCTACATTTATCGAAGAGACTACAAAATGTTACAGAAGAAAAGTACAATGGATAGGCTTTTTGTCCGAGAAGGTTAAATTATTTAAAGTTTACTTTTTAAATTAACAGGGGCTCCAAGCAACACAAAACACAAAATTTTCACAAATGAAATATTTATTTTATTGAATATATTGAATGCGTTGTACAGTGTTGTTTGGTGACACAGAATGCGCATGCCTTTTGTACTAAGTTTTGTAAAACTTCAGTATAATAATATGAGTTGCAATAAGAGCTCATAAGAAGATCAAAATATTTACTCTCGTTATAAAAAAGACGCGCATAATACAATTGTATTTGTTTAAAAGCTAATTTAAAAGTTAAATAAGTAAAATAGCAATTAACAGAAATATACATATATAATTAACGCTTATTAAATCGATGAAGATAATCATATAAGTTGTATGGAACAGAATTTGATTAATTTCTATTGTAATTAATTAAGTGCACAATATACCAAGATTAATGGTTAAAAAAATATAATAAATAAATTAGTAATCGCATCCGTAACCAGTTCCGTATATATATATACGGATAATTAATTTATTATTTTTCGTGATTTTATAAAAAAAAAAAAAGATTTAAGTTGTGGTTTTTTCACCAAATTCACTTTTGCGGCTTAGGCATCGTTATAAATAAAAATGTAAATTGAATTCAAGTTTAAGAAATTTATGCTATTCTGACATTGATAAAACGCATGTTCAAAATTTCAAATTTATAGTAGTATAAAAAAGACTTAATCGTTTGGCTAACAATGTATTAGTAAATTAAAGTGATATGCAATTGCTTTTAATTAAACTGATTATATAACGACTGGCTTTCGTTATTAAAATTTGTTGTACTCATCTTCTACACGATTAAATAACAACACGTTTTCAATTGAATAAAAAAAGATGAGACAGTTATGAATAATGTCGTGGTGAGTACTTATTTAAATATCAATATTTACCTACAAAGTTACTTATCCTGCTTCTGCGTTGCAAAAAAAACAAGTTTACGTTTAAATCATTTCAATCAATTAAATTTAAATCATTTCAAATTGATCTAAATGATATTTGCTTTTAAGTACCTACTTAATCACTAATTTTTTGTTCTACAAGTTGATGCTTGATAATAATCAATGTATCCATTAGTGTGTATCTACATTTGGTGAATAAGAAAACTAAATGAATTTAGTATCTATGTATTATATTTTATACCAAATACTTAACGGAATTATTCTTATACATCGGCTAAACCGATTTATAGAAACTATCTATGGTGTGCTGATGAGATCTGATGATCATTTCGAAAAATTACTGACCAAGAAATTTAATTAATTATCATCATCATAAGGTCGTCAGTCCTAAGACTGGTTGGACACGCACCTCCACTCATTCCTATCCTGAGTTAATCTTCGCATTTCCTTAAAACTAAAACTAGAACATCCACATTTTTGACTATTTGTGAACAGTAATCTAATCTAGATCTGCCTCTATTCCTCTAAACTCCTGTTCTGTTTCTAATATGTCTCTAATGATTACTTTATTAAATTTAATTATATTGTAAATTTGGTCGGACAACGCTGGCCAAAAAGCTAAGGTATTAGTAAATATCTCTCTCCTCTTACTTACTGCTTGCAGAGATAGAGACTTGAGAGATTCGAAACCACAGCAGCACACAGTCATACAATTGCTATTTTGAAATATTATGATTATAACCTCCCTGGTAAGAAATCGCATTTAGTGTTAATTAAGAATGCACTATAACATCCTAAAAATCATGTGAAGGATGACCAAATAAATCATTTTCCAATCATAGGTGTAGCAACGATTTTTTCCTGAGTGGAGGCTAAATTTTCAACTCTACCTAACATTAACAGCTAAAAATGTAACTGATTGTAGATTTATCTTGTTCTTTTTACTTAAATAATTGATATTCTAGGGTGAGCTAGGAGGATTCTACAGTTAGCCTGACCCACCTAGCACCCCCCTACGCTAATGTTTCTAATAAAGAACAAATGCGATTTCTTTCCCGAGACTTAAACTATATATTCATTCTTGGAATCAGGGAAGAAACATCGCAAAAAAACTTTTGATGAGGGTCTTGTAAAATAATTAATTTTTTTATTCTTAATCGAAAGCCTGTTAAGATTAAGTCCAAGAATTTAAGAGATCCTTAAAACAATAAATAAACGAATATTCTCATTAATGTTTATTTTTACTACGTCATTCTAATCTATATTAAAATCAATGGGTTCTTTCCCATTTGCAACTTCTAATATTTTTATTTATAGCTTAATCCATCGTCGGAATTATTGTAAGGTCCTTAGCCCGGAGACTGGTTGGGCACGTGCTTTCATATGTTAGTATTTTGAACCGAAACTGAAATTCAAAAAAATTATATAAGTTTATACTTTTCTAAAGGTTGTTTGAATACATTAAATGTACAAAAGTAAAGGGTCAAATCAGAGAAAGATTTGTGTAGGGTGTTTTTAAGTGTCGTCGATAGATTCGAATATTTTGAGATGTATAAATTAAAAAGTAGCGGTGACCATGTGCATCCCTGTGTGACTCCCTTCCTGATATTTAGCGCCGGTGCACACTTGCGGCAATCGCCGCTGCGGCACCGCAATTGCGGCTTAAAGTACTAACAGGTAAATGAGTTAATGCACATTCATCTGCGCGCCGCCGCGGGGCCGCGCGTCCAAATGGCGACCGTTTTGAACCGCAGGTCCCTACGGAACCGTGGCGGCACCGCTGCCGCTATTGCGGTTTTGTAGTACTCGTTTGTATATCGGCTGGTACACACTTGCGGCAAATTGACGCAAAAAAGGATGGCTGCTACTAGAACTTCTGAAGATTTGGATATAGAATTATTCATTGATGCAGTAAAGGGGTTGGTTCCCAGAGATATGGGATATTTCCTCAGAAATATACCTATACCATGAAAGAGTCAAAAACAGGTCTGCATGGATTATAATCTGTGAAATGTTTTCCGATGGATTTTTGGAGCTGGATGACAAGGAGAAAACATTTCTAGTGGGATTATGGAGACTCTTAATCTGGTATCTTTTGCGATCTTATCCTATCAGAAACTTTTGCTGTTAATTCATCAGATGAAGCAACACTCCTTCGAAAGTAGTTGAAAAATTAGTCAGGATTCTCCCTTAAATACGAAAACGACGTTACAAATGTGCCCCTCGTAAGCCGTAAATCGGTATATGGGTCTACCCAAAATCGTCTCGTTTTTTTT